AATTTCTACTCTGTATTTTTAAGCTTCAGTAAAAACTAGAGTTTCTGAAGTACAACTTAACCCTTTTTTAAATGAAACATGCATTTTGGGTACATTTTTTATTTCATTATACCATTTAAATGTTTAATAGCATAAACCTAAAAATACTACATTAACTTCACTCTAAAAATGTAGCGTTTTGTAACGCATGCACGGTGCATGTGCACTGTAGCTCACAGCAGCACTGATTCTGCTCCGAGTCTAGATGTAACAGGACCACACACAGAGCAAGAGGTAGTCCCAATGACAGTCATTTTAGCAGGATTCAACAGTGCTGCAAAAGCCTGCTTGCTGCTCATGGGACTGATATATGCCCTGAACTTGACATACCCTCCCACTTTGCATTACACTTTTGAATTCTTCCAAAAACTTTCCCTGGTGGATTTAAACTGTCCCCAAAAGTAAACACCCTGAGGTCGAATTTTCCTACCTAAATGCATTCATGACTTGGTGGAAGGTTGGCTGTCAATAAAGGGGTCATAGAATGCAAAACCGAGTTTACATTGCCATAGATGAATAACGAACGTTTAGTGGGTGAAATGCATGTACAGAGAAGTTCAAACCCCACTGACGCCCCCTTTCTCTGCAAATCTCACAATTCTCAAATTCCACCATAAAACGGGCAATTTCAAACAAAGTTCCTGAACTGACGTCAATTCGGGGATGTTGCCTTATTTGGTTCTGGCCTGTACTTTTTTCACACCCCGAAATTGAAATACAGACCAGCCCACATGTTCACTGGGGGGGAGGGGAATTATGAAGCTCGGCAGCTGACTGGACCGAACCTCAGCAGAGAACCATGAGCGGCCCGTCCTCAGATGGAGGAGGGGGGCTGGGGGTCGGTAACAGACATCCCAAGTCTCCCGGAAGTTCCAGGAGTCTCCTTGATATAGATAGTTGTTCATGGATGCCCGTGAGTCGGATAAATTATCCCGGATTTTAGACTATGTGAGGTAGGCTTGTCCCGATCCGATACGTGGATCGGATCGGGACGCCGATATTGGCAAAAAAATGCGTATCGGCAAAGCATGTAAAATGCCGATCCAGACTGCTGATCCAGTTTTTTTTTAAAAATCCGGTCCGTATTTTCCAGTTTCGCCGATTGAAACGATCCATTCCACTATTTTGCGCCAGTGTTCCCCTGTTTTGCATTTTTATTAAAACTTACAGTAATACTTGCACCTTTAACTGTTTACGGTTTTACTGTTCACTGTGCAATTTCAGATTGCTATTCATAATTTTGTCCAGTTTGTGTTTATCTCTTAATAAACAGATAAGTTTGTTGTTACCAAGCATTGTGTTTTATTCAATCTCACCTAATTTAGCTGGCTAGATGTTATCAAGAGTACTAAAACCCTTTTCAACATGAGTCTTACAACTAAGGCTAAATACTTTAACTTAAACTTAAACACATGCTCGGATAGGCTGGTATCGGCCAGTATCGGTATCGGATCGGAAGTCCAAAAACAATATCGGTATCGGATCGGAAGTGCAAAAACCTGGATCGGGACATCTCTAATGTGAGGTGGTGTTCTTTTAATGTGAGTGAGAGTGTGCAGGCAATACAATAATTTGTGCATCATGTGCAGATTAGAACTACTTCAGACGACAAGAGAAAGCGGGGTGTGGGGAGGATGTTCCTTATGAAACCTGTGCGTATCTTTCCATAGCGATGCTCTGTTCAACGAGCGTTCCAGGTGACTGGTTGTCAGAGTGCGCGTTGATTGGATTAGTCAGAAAAATAAGCCAATAAGTTTCGGTTTACTATCTTACAGTCACCTTGTTACCACTAAAAGCTGTGCATCCTGTGAAATAGGTTGAATCCTTCAGTAAAAATGAAAATATAAGACTAATTTTACAGCAGAATATACTAAAGTAAGTCCACATATAGTGAAGGTGAAGAATAATGAAGTGTGTATGTATGGGGAACGGTGCTCACAGCTCATCTAAATATTCATGATCATACCATGAAATGAAGAAAACCTGTCGTTTCAGTCTAGGGCTTATAACCAGGCTTGGATTAGGGCTCATAGAACAGCAAATCTGCCATTTTTCAGCCCAACCAATGTTACACACCCCATTCAGAGACCTTAAGGACCAGCACCAAATACCCTATAGAATCATTCTATGACCCCTTTAATGTTTTATATTTTTTGCCAAATAAGGCATATGTTATTTGGCAAAAAATAACAGATACCTTTATTCAAATATTTAGTAGAGATTTTATTCTTCATTAAGAATGGTTAGACAATTTAAGCTGTTAATTTGTAATTGTGTTGATTTTGTTTCATTATTGTAATTGTATTCTTAAAAGTCCACTAGTCTGGACGATTAGTTTAAATGCTGAAATTGCGCTGTTTCAGTGTGTAGGTTTGTAAGATTTTTATCACATATTTGAGTAGTGACTATATTACCAGATCTGAGTTGGATGTGGTGTATATGAAATACTTTCTATTTGTCATTTACAGGTCATAACGAATGTTGTAACTCTCAGTTTCAGAGGCTTGTACATTTTTTATTGTATATTAGAGGGCTGCACAGTAGTGCAGTGGGTAGCACTGCTGCCTTGCAGGAAGAAGGTTCCTAGTTTGATTCCCGGCCTGGGGTCCTTCTGTATGGACCTGTGCATGCATGGGTTCTCTCCCTGGGTACTCCGGCTTCCTCCCACAGTCCACATGACTGTTGAGTTAATTGGCTTCTCTAATTTCTCCTAAGGCAAAGCGTGTGAATGGTTGTTTATCCTGTTTGTCTCTGTGCTGCCTTGTGACCTGTCCAGGGTGGACCCTGCCTCTCACCCATAGACAGCTGGAGATAGGCACCAGCACCCTCGCGACCCCAACTGGGATTAAGCATGACAGAAAATGGATGGATGGATAGATTTTAGTTAGATTGTGTAATTTCTGAATGGCCCATGAAAGTGTGGGCAATAAATTCAATAGGTTATTTACGTCTTTGTTAAACTTTTTAAAACGAAAAATAAACTGTTCAATGTATATTAAATGTATAGATTATTGGTCCAATTTATTTGGTAACATTTATCAGAAGAAAACTGGCAATGATTACCTAATATTAGTGAATAATGTAACAAAATGCAACAAAGTAAATTAATATCTCAAGCACAAAAAAAAATGTATTAATATCTACTCAAGTATTTAATAACAGCCAATACTACAGGGGATATAAGATTTACTTAAAATTTTGAGTAAAATGTTGTTTGTGCCTACGAAAAACAAGTCCACTTTACTTAATTTATTTAAATAAATCTAATCTACAACTTGGATATAATTTAGTAAATGTTACTTAATATCTTCACAACTGTTATGTCTTATGGAAAATAAAAATCACTTGATACTGGCAAGTTTTACTTGATATTGCAGCATTAAATTGTACTTAAATCATTTGTGTGCAAATACAATATTTTTTTAAGTAAATCTTAGAGTTGTTTTTTTTCAGTGTACTCATTCAGTATGGGTATTCTTGAGTTGAAGCTCTAACTAGACAGAGCAACCCTACAGAGAAAACTCCAGCCCTTTATTAAAAAAAATATAAAAAGAAATAATAAAAAAATAACAACACTCAACTAAAAAGAGCCTGATGTTAAAAAATAATAAGTCACTAAAATACGTAAAGAAGCTTTACAAAACAAATGTCGTTTATAAAAGCACAATAATAAAACAGATCAATCTCAAATCGAATAAAAATATGTTGAAAAAAATAGAATTACTAATAAATACACTTAAAATATGATACACATTGAAGTTAATAAATGTGTAAAGACATAAGCAGATCATATTTTTTTTGGTAATACTTGATTTTTGGAAACATATTTATTATAAATCGAATTCTTATTTTATTTCTCTGTTTTTTATGTACTGGATGGATGGATGGATGGATGGATGG